AGGTATTAATTTCTCCACTTGACTGATGTTTACCGTCCTCATAGTGAATTTACTCTCACTACAAACATTTGTCTCCATAGCCAGCGTTTACTTACCACACTTATCACCAGTGTCATAGTAAAAAAAAACACTAATTAATGTCCTTCCTAATTGGTCCCTGACTATTTACTGAATAATAGGTTATAACGGACAGCACATCATAATACTACTGTAAAGGATATCTTTAATTACCGTTATGTATAATAAATATTATCAGATTTCTCATAATTATTTCTTAACACCAGACTCCAATTTGACAATTAATAATATCTATGTTGGAATCAATACCAAGTGCAAATACTGTGGTACCATTGGAAGGGAAGTAAGTACATGTCTGGCCTCAATTTCACTGTGACCCTAGTAAACTGTAGTAAAAGTACTGTAAGCTTGATTCAGTCCTGAAAATTTAAACAAAACATTAAAACCTTGCTCATAAATTTAACGTGTACATATATCAATAGCCAATGAAAGCGGTAGAGGTGCAGGAGAGTTACCGACCGACAGTTGAACCCCACTTATAGCTATACTGAAACAAGTGTACATTGTAATGGAACTAGACTCAAGATATCAATGTAACTCAATACATTTTTTTTTTTTTTTTTTTTTTAAGGTGTGAATATCAATTTTATCTATAAATTATATTAATAAAGGATTACCTTTAACTGAATAATTAATTCACAGTATATACATATATATAACATAATTATATATACTTATTTAGCATAACTGTGAATTTACCTAGAAATTTAATCTTTAAATTTGATTATTCCGACTACACGGCACAGGTAGAGGAAGTGGTCTGGTGGCAGCGATCATATTACCGTCTGCTCCCTCTCGTCTGCTCCCACTCGGTGCGCAAATGTCATAATGACTCACTTTCTTTGAATGTGTCTTGTTAAGTATTTTATGGAAATATTAACAGTTAGTTTGATAAAAGCCTTACTACATTGTCATAAAATTTGACACATGTATTTTAGCAGCTAATTGGAAAAACAGTCTGATCTTTGTTTTGAGATACTTAAGTAAGAATTTGAACAGAACTATTACAATATAATCTTTTTAAGTTCAGGAGAGAACTGATATAGGCATAGCCTGTTGTTCGATCCCATTCATACACCATCATGAAAAAAAATTGTTGAAATGAAATTTGAAATGAAATCTTTTTAAGTTTGAAAACCCCATAATCATAAAAATTTCTTAAGAGAGCACTGAAATAGTCCAAATTAACTAGTCAAATTAACTATCTCCTTTTATTTTGTTTGATGGAGCAGAGATACTCAGGACATTCTTCTTAGGGTTTCTTTGAAAAATTTGCACACCACATTTGGTGTTTTCTTGTATACTGATAAAATTAGTTCTCCTTGTCATTAACATATGGAAGAATTGACAAAATATGTTGTGAATACTCTTTTACAATTAGACCACCCCAGGGTTGTATACAGATAGCACATTGGATCTTCAGTATCTCCCTCCTTTATATACAAACAAATAATTCTTTATTAAATCCTGTTACACTGACAACTGTGAGGTAAGCTTGGTGATATACATCCACACACTAGGTAAGTAAAGGATGTATTAAATCCTGTTACACTGACAATTGTGAGGTAAGCTTGGTGATATACATCCACACACTAGGTAAGTAAAGGATGTATTAAATCCTGTTACACTGACAATTGTGAGGTAAGCTTGGTGATATACATCCACACACTAGGTAAGTAAAGGATGTATTAAATCCTGTTACACTGACAATTGTGAGGTAAGCTTGGTGATATACATCCACACACTCAGGTAAGTAAAGGATGTATTAAATCCTGTTACACTGACAATTGTGAGGTAAGCTTGGTGATATACATCCACACACTAGGTAAGTAAAGGATGTATTAAATCCTGTTACACTGACAATTGTGAGGTAAGCTTGGTGATATACATCCACACACTCAGGTAAGTAAAGGATGTATTAAATCCTGTTACACTGACAATTGTGAGGTAAGCTTGGTGATATACATCCACACACTAGGTAAGTAAAGGATGTATTAAATCCTGTTACACTGACAATTGTGAGGTAAGCTTGGTGATATACATCCACACACTCAGGTAAGTAAAGGATGTATTAAATCCTGTTACACTGACAATTGTGAGGTAAGCTTGGTGATATACATCCACACACTAGGTAAGTAAAGGATGTATTAAATCCTGTTACACTGACAATTGTGAGGTAAGCTTGGTGATATACATCCACACACTCAGGTAAGTAAAGGATGTATTAAATCCTGTTACACTGACAATTGTGAGGTAAGCTTGGTGATATACATCCACACACTAGGTAAGTAAAGGATGTATTAAATCCTGTTACACTGACAATTGTGAGGTAAGCTTGGTGATATACATCCACACACTCAGGTAAGTAAAGGATGTATTAAATCCTGTTACACTGACAATTGTGAGGTAAGCTTGGTGATATACATCCACACACTAGGTAAGTAAAGGATGTATTAAATCCTGTTACACTGACAATTGTGAGGTAAGCTTGGTGATATACATCCACACACTCAGGTAAGTAAAGGATGTATTAAATCCTGTTACACTGACAATTGTGAGGTAAGCTTGGTGATATACATCCACACACTAGGTAAGTAAAGGATGTATTAAATCCTGTTACACTGACAATTGTGAGGTAAGCTTGGTGATATACATCCACACACTCAGGTAAGTAAAGGATGTATTAAATCCTGTTACACTGACAATTGTGAGGTAAGCTTGGTGATATACATCCACACACTAGGTAAGTAAAGGATGTATTAAATCCTGTTACACTGACAATTGTGAGGTAAGCTTGGTGATATACATCCACACACTAGGTAAGTAAAGGATGTATTAAATCATGTTACACTGACAATTGTGAGGTAAGCTTGGTGATATACATCCACACACTAGGTAAGTAAAGGAGGTATAAGACCAGCTGTAATCCTCCGTTATTACACGGGAACATCGGTTGTGACAACTTCTGAGATCTTTGTCATCATAAATCAGACCTGGAGGACACATCCTTCTCTCAGTTTTTACTAATGCACACGAAATGTACAGCTTAGGTCAAAGGTCACTTGTTAAAATCCACCCTAATTAAGGAAATTAAATTAAGGAACATCAAGACAGCCAAGGGTCATTCAGGAATGTTTTTAAAGTTTATCATACTACAGGGGCCTTCACAATTGTTTGTTTCTATTATTTTGTTGTTGAGGGTTTTAAATCATTTTAATCCTTGCCACTACTATAAATGGCAATCCATTAAACATAAAATGTGAGGCTGATTAATTAAAAACAGTTCATTAAAATTTTCTCATATAGACAAATGATCAATTAAATACTTCACTTGGTGTATATCCATGGCCAGGTATTTGTTTTATATGGCTCATCAAAAAATCTAAAATAGTATTCATAATTTCAGTAATTATACATGTATTGCCTTTTAATACATATAAATATGTACCAGATTAATTGAAACTTTTAGAATTAAACTTCAAATGATTTAATGTATTCTAGACTAATAGTGATGATAAAATCAAACACGTTTAGTCCTAAACATAAAATAATACAAGATTTATTTATTTAATAAGCTAAAAATTTAAGTGGAATACAACATTTAGCTAAAATGTTAAAATGCATCAGAAATTCCTTTACTTATAATTTAAATGCAATTTATCTTACAACATTTAGACATTCAGATGGGTTGTACCGAACTTTTCTGTGAGCTAATGTACAAACAGAGCAAAGAATTGTATATTAATGTTTACATTAGTGTCTGTGAAATTCTCACAATATAGTGGAAGTGTTACATTTAAATGTTAACACCAGTCAGTACTTTCTATAAGTGTCACATGCTCTGATTGACATCTTCTGAGATTTCCTTATTTACCTAGAGTAAATACCGGTGGAATAACAGTTGTATGGGTAGCATTACACTCTCTATACACTGGGGACTGATATCAGACTATCACGCCAGGTCTTATTTAAGGTGAACTGCCAAGTCTGATACCGAAATACATACCAAACACAGTAACATACCATTTTATACAGGGGTCTCTGATCCTTGTATCATGATAGAATGCCCCTCCCAAGTAGTATGACCTCACACGTGACCTCACACAACAATCCGAGGTCACACACACTGATTGTAACCATGACAACAGTAGAGATTATGATTAAAAAAGAGGAAATCTAGACCAGTAACAATCTGGACATAAGAGGTTTGTAATAAGCACACCTGGTGCCTTTCAGTCAAACTGTAAACTTATCAGGGGCAGATAACTCTACGTGCCACTAATGACCTGGAACAGTTACAACACCAAACTAAACAAAGTGAGATTCTTTTCACATATATCACCTATATCCTTGTGTTGATTCTCTTGAATTTTTATCTTAAGCAATGAAAAAGACCAAAAGTCTTATTAAGTTATAAGATATATTTACAAAATGTTTGGAACTGACAGGATAGAAGAACTTAGTTCATAAAGTCATTGGTATCATCTAGGGGGAGATAAATCTGCATGCTGTCAGTCACCTGTAGCAGAACGTTACTATTGAAATGACATGAGACTGTATGAGCTGGTAATCCCGGCCCCATGTCTTACTATCACCTAACACTGGTACAGCTCTACCGTGTGTACTTTTAGTATAGCGTCTTCACCATTATGCCAAATTGTGATAAATCTCAGTGAAACTGGCCAAGCACTTCAGGATCCAATCCTTTGAAGATAATTCTAACAAGTCCCCAGGTTATTGTGTCATTGACTTCAGAAACAGAAACTTGGCACACATTTCATCTGTATCTTCATTCATTTGGCAACAAAATGCAATTGTTACACTAAAGATGCACACTTACCTTGCACTCAACTTAAAGTTTCAAACCTGATGTTCTTCCAGCAAATGGACCCACACAAAAAAGGATGTGTATGAAATCTTACCTTAGCAGCAACAATGCTAAGTCCCATGCTGCCATTGACCTTGTTGAAGGTCACTGTCATGACCTCTGGCTCCTTTGGTAGCTGTGGTCGTAACTGGCGAGGTTCTGCACTTGGAGGTTGTTGAGGTGTGGAAGGTCCTCTCTGTACAGCCTGGGTTAGAAAATATCATTATTATTATATATCATTACTCTAAAATACCTCTAGAACAAAATGATTTTCATGGTATTTCTGAAAATTTCAATCATGGTAAAACAATTTAAGTTGTTTTGAGCTATACTGCAAAACAAATTTAACTATAGCTAATGTTTGTACTACAGTTTGATTTCTGAGACACAAATATGGCTCATTATTCTGTATGAGTGAATTGACTGTATTCTTTAATTTTATCACAGACCGATTAATTCATATCCGTCCAGCTACATAAGGTAATAATACAACTTGGTATCCTACACCTCCTTATGACTACCATTGGTAGTAACACAATAATATTGATTACAATGAATGAAAGACTAACAATATTCACAATGAAAGTAAATACAAAGTTAACTCTCTAAAGGCACTGCCTATTGATAAAAGGACACAGTGACATTAAAATCAATGTAGATGTAAGGTGACAGATAGATAAACGGACAGACACCCTCATGCAGGAACAACCCCAATTCCCACCCCCTACTAACTTCATTGGTTAGGCAGGTATGTCATATCACAATACAGATATACATCAGCTAAATAAAATGTAAAGTGTAAGTCCACAAGTTCTTTTTCTTCTTTGTTTTTTAATTAAGGGAAGAAATTTACATGGACTCAATACCTCTTTGATTAATCCTAATGCAATACATAGGTGTACAGAGTACAAATCAATTAAAGATACAGAAGCTTGCCCTGCCATTAATACTGCTGATTATACTGTGGCTCCCAAGGGACTTACAGGATCAGTGCATCAACACAGGTAACAAATATGAAAGCCATCATGCAAATTACAAACATAACAATTTACTCCCGTCATCAATATTTCATACAACACAAGGAATGTCTTGCCCACAGCTAAACAGGACCAAAAATCAATGCTATAGGAGGACACGTGTAAAATCAGGTAACCGATGGCTTGTGAGAACACAGCCAGGAAACCTGTGATAATGTCCTAATTCATCAACACAAATTAAACAGATCCAGTCAGTTCTACCTTACTTTATACACCAGGTATAGAAAGGATCTTGTAATACAGTTGGGTATCCTACCTTACTTTATACACCAGTTATAGAAAGGATCTTGTAATACAGTTGGGTATCCTACCTTACTTTATACACCAGGTATAGAAAGGATCTTGTAATACAGTT